GAACTAGCAAGGATGCAGAAGACATGCTCATGTCCCAACCCTCCTGAACAGAACACGTACCTGAAATCTGGGTTTCTCTCACCCCTGGCCACTGTCTCCGACTGCTGGGTTATTACAGCCTGCCTGTGTATGCCTGATGAACACTTCTCTCTCCCTCTCTCCCCCTCACACTCTCTAGCATCTTTTGCCACAGTAATTTCATAAAAATCAAAACAGCTGCATGAAATATGACATCAACAGAATAAAAATTTGATACAGAATGAAATGAAAAAGTATGAAATACTTTTTCAAATCTGGTAATTTTACTGTGAATCAAAAGAAATGTTGAAACTTTGCAAATGCTTACAAAATAGAGCTGTTTGCCTCTGTCTTGCTGAACTTTCAGCAATCTGCAAGTGTATTTAAACAGCATAGACGGGATATTTTCTAGCTCAGTCATTAGGGAAAAGTATCTCAGATTTAACTACACATATGCTATTCAGGAAAAAAAAGAGGACAGGAAAATCTCTTCTTGTTTTATTCTACAAGGCATATGACAATATTTTGGTCAGAAAAAATGAGAGTAGGATTTATGGGGCTGCTCTTAATTAACTTTTGAGGCATTTTGTCATACACATTACTTTTTCAGCAAGGTAGGTGTAAGAATTTAAGGATGAAAACTGGCTGGGTCCGTCCACAAATTGTGATGATTTGTTTTTCATTGAAGAAGTTTGAACTTTCCATACAACAAACCTCAGTTTTCTTGTATATTAACAATTTTCTGCAAACCAGATGCGTGACTCGAGACAAATCCCCATTAACTTAAGTAGGAGGTTGCATGAACAAGAACAAGAGTTCAGGTAACCGTGCTAAGCCTCGCTTGTTTAATAACAAACTGGCTTTGTATGTTTTCAGTCCAGCTAAGAATATACCAGAGCGTGTTCCATAAAAAGCATTTTCTCTCTAGCTTATAGCAAAACTGGATGTTTAGAATGGAATACATCATACTACATCTATGTTAGAGGATCCACAGACCCCCAAAGGAGTCGCAGAGTGTACAAAACAGATAAGGTACTTGAGTTTAACAGAGAATGACAGGTGTCTCCTACGGTTTCCAGCCTGATATTGCAAGAAGACCCTTGCATATTAAGAAAGATTTCTGGGCAACTACTTTCAGGATGTAGTAAACCTTTTAAATGTATATTTAAGTACTTTTTCCTCATTAATAAACAATTTCTCACTAATAAACAATGAGAAATGCCTCATGAATGGATTATGATTTAGGAGGTTCAGAAGGCTACCGCATAAATAGTTAAAGCAACCTCACCAGAAATTTGAGATTTCTGAAGGCTTGATTTACATGGCCTAAGTCTGACCCATACCATATTCCGAGCGACAGAGCTAACAACAAAAATGGCCATCTTTGTGTTTGATTTGAGCTTGGAAAAAGGGAGAAGCACCTACATTCTAACATTTGAGCATTCCCAAACAGATTGCATTTTAAGTGCATATCTCACTGTACATAAAGCACAGCAGCAGGCATCTGTTAACTTGTGTTTTGTCAGTGAAATACTTTGCTTATTATTATTCTGCTATTGCTCAATTTACTTGTCAGTTCTCTTGATTGTCCAAGTCCTAATAGAACTATTAAGATGTTTGAACTTGGATGGTCTGATTGCACATGTTCTTTCTTTCCATTTTTCACCATAAAACTCTGCTTTGCTATATCCTTTTTTATTATTATTATAAAGTTTTATCCAAGCCACTTAGCTCAGATATTCATACTCTGGTTATTCTTCTTTCTGTAGATGGAAAAAAGGTGTCTATGGGCACCTGCAGACAGTCTGTCCCTCCCTTTTTAGACAGGTAGGAAATGGGCAGACATCTTTCTAAGTTGGCCTTCTTGTTTAGCTATTCATCAAGTATTCTAATATTTGAAAGCAAGTTATCTTTGTCAAACTGTTTGACAGAGCAGATCGTGTTCTAACTGATAGCCTGTAAATATTTTCTGACTTACTCATGTTTGATTCTGTCTTATTCCCGTGACCAACTTCTGCAATAAAAACTATTTTATTGAAGTGGAAACTTCTTGATGGAATGTTAAGCAAACTTTAACTGAAGAAAAATAATTAGAAAAAGCATTCTGATTAAAGTTCTCTTGAAATATTTATTTTTTGAGACAATGTTTCAATGCCTGATCACTTTTGTTGTGTTATAAAAAACAAGACATACTTAGTAACATTTAACTGTCAGAAAATGAAAGGCTTTCTGTTTTTATTTTGATTCACCACAAAATAAATTTCAAAGTTGTACTATTTTTGCAATGGCATAATTGCGAATAAAATGTGTCCCTGAACAACTTGTAATTTATTCCCTGAATTCCAAACTGAAAATCTTTTAGGAAAAAAGTGTAAATCACACTTTATAGTAGAGGAAAGTTATGCATTTGGATAATCAAACTAGCCAAATATAGTTAAAACTCATTCTGAAAAGTTATTTATCTTTAGTTGCAGTTCTGACTGTTCAGAGTTTACCACCACAAACACCATTTCCTTTTATGGGCTTCAAAGACAGAGGTCTTTGAAGATTTGGAGGCTGGGCTGATAAGTCATTCCACTTAGGGTTGTCTACTTTCACTATTGAGGTACATAACAGCTATCAGGACAAATTTCAAACCCACTTCCACGTGGGCATGTGTAATTTTCCCAATAACTTTTAACGTTAATACTGTAATTTTAAGGCTGAAGAATGCATATGTAAAATTATATGCACAGCAGTGAAGACCACATTCAGAAAATTTAGCAGACTTTAGCATAAAGTTCTACGTGCTGAGGAGCTAAAGCTTAACGAATTAACTCCAGATATGACTATATTAGTGGGAGCTGGAGACAGTCTTACAGAGCTGCCTTTTCTTTGACCAAGGAAATGCCCTCAAGAAGACTTACTTCAGCTAATGAAGGCATTACATAAACAGTAGAAAGGCGGTTGTTAAAGGTTGGTAGAAATCAGCAGTTAGTAATTATGAAGGTTTCCTATCTGCTTTTAGAATAAATATCTTGTCCCACTTGTTAGACCCACAAAGGAAGTGCTAAATGGAGACTCTCCAGTCACGAATTGTTCAGGCATTGCTTTCTGTGGTGCATACGATATGTCCTACTGCACGTCTCCAGCTCCTTCCTGAGACCAGGCAAAGGCCAAAGATCAATCAGTGATCTGATTGGTAGTGGTAAAATCACTTACTCATAGAAATAATTAATGAAAAGAGTTTGAAGTGGATGAATGCATCACCAGGAGGTAAATGATGTTTGACTGACCTACCTGAGAAGATAATTAAAGTTAGTAACAATACTTCTCTCTTTTATTAAAGAAAAAGAAAGAAAAAAAAAGAGTTAGTTTCATCCTATAGTTTGGAAATCATATATGTGGTCGTTACTGCTGTGATTCACATTACCAAAATGAAATAAAATTTGAGTAAATTATTTCCCTGAATATGAGACCGTGACTAAAGATGTAAATTTTTTGTGTTTCTCAGTAATTTTTGTTACATGAATAGCTAACACTTATTATTAATTGATATGCTAATTAAAGCCATACTAGTGATTTCCATAGCTTACTCTCAAACTTCTGCAGAGCTGTCCGTCTGGTTTTAATCAAAACCAAATGGTAATACAAGTTCTCAGGCTGGAACAGCTAAGAGGAAGTCATTCAGAGGAGGCAGAAGAAAGAGAAAAGATAAACAGATGATATTCACAAAATTTGTATAGCGCAAAGGATGTAGATGCTGTAGGTTACTCTGGAGACGTGATTCAGGCACCCTGTCAAACTGGAACGAAGTATTTACAAGTGTTTTATGTCAGCAAAATACTAATATGATCAAGATGGAGTCTGTCCTTTTGCTTTTGCAGAGCTGGATTTGTGTGACTCTGGAGGATTCTCAGAAGAGGTAAAGCAACATATACCATTGCCTGTAATACCACTGCATTTAAACTGTAACGTTCATTTTCTGGGATCTAACTGATTCTCCTGAGTAAGGATACACTTTTAGCATGCACGTGTACAGGGTATCTAGCTAACTGTGTGTGTTTCCTGGTCAGAACAGCGTTAGACCCTTTGTAAATGTGATGTGTTAATTAAATTCAAGCAAAGTTGTTCTCTGCCTGTTGCTTGCTACTTAATAGTAAGAAAGATCAGACGTTTCAGAGATGATCTCCTGTTTTTCCCGGGTGACTGTTACCTTTGCATGAATATTAGAGATGTATAAAATAATTGGGGGGAGGGGAGGAGGGTAAACACCAGGGAGGAATTTGAAAAAACTTTTACATTATGTAAAATAATAATATAATAATTTGACAGAAATGCCTCAGTAGTGGACTAAAACAAATACTCAGTCTTGCCGTCTGTTTTCTATTTTTTCCCCTCACTATGCGCTCTCTCCCTTTCTCTCTCCCTTTCTCTCTCTCTCTCTCTCTCACACACACACACACACACACACACACACACACACACACACACACACACACAAACACACACACACACACGCGCGCGCGCGCACATACACACACACACACACACTCTTTCCCTCACCCTCTCTCTCAAAGGCAGGAAATACTTTTCAGGCAATCTGGGCCTGGTTGTTGAGGCCCCTTTCACAAAACATCAGTCTGAATTTAGTAGACAGAAGTCACTGGGAGAAGCTTGACAGAATCGCGCTTAGTTAAGGCTCCCTCCAGCTGCAGAGGGTGTTTTTGTTAGAATCACACATTGGGCAAAACCGCTTAGAACAGAGCAATGATCTCAGTAACGAAATCTGAACTTTTTGCTAGTAGAAGCTAAATGGGACTGGGTTCTTTTGTTTGTTTGCTCCTTCGTTTTGTTTTTTTGACCAAAGATTTTAGGGAGGGCGTGTTCGGCTCCACGTTCTCTTCATCTAGGTAAGGCTGTCTTGGAATCTTTCTATACTTAAAAATACCCCAAAATACCAAAAAAAAAAAAAAAGGAAACAAGAAAAAAAAAAGAAAGAAGCAGCAAAGAAACAAGCAGTATCCAGCACTGGAGCTTTCTGCGTTCAGGATCTCAGCATTAAAACTGGAGGTAAAAAAAAAAAAGAAAACTAAAAATGTACATTTAGCTGTAGACTGTCTGCCAACTCTGTTTATCAAAACGCGTCAGATCTATAACAGTCTTGTGCATTTTATTTCATCTTTTAAAAGTATGCTTGATATGCTGAACTTTGTTTATGTGCATTCATATATAAATAGAGCTGCATGGTCTTGCTTGCATTTTTTTTTTGAATGGACATTAAATAGAAAAGCTAGAAGTGTGAATGATCTCTTTTTTCACCTCATCTGCCAACAGGGAGAGCATTTAGGGCTAGGTTTTCTTTCCCCCCTACCTTCCCTTCCTTTCCCTCTAGCAGTAATGATGAGAAGGAGAGCTTTAGATAGATATATCAGTGATAGCTCTGCTGGGCTTGGTCTCTAGCTTTTTCTGAGAACAGCCCTAGATGAAGTCTGTGGTTTAGCTGACAATACAATCTTACATATATACGCTCTGTATATGAAAATCCAAGGTATACTTCTTCGTGTTAGCTAAACTAGGTTATTTTTAGTAATCTGTAATTAGATACACAGTTTTTGTGGTGTGCTATGCTTTCATTTAGAAGAGGAAAAGCAACATTCGGTAAATATCAGCTGTGACTGTATTTTTCATTGAAAACACATGAATTTCCTCAAAGGCTTTTTCTTCATCCAGTTAGTTAAAATAATAAGAATCTGCTATTAACGAGTTTAGATGGAAATTCAGAGTATTATCTCTAACTGATATGTGAATGGAGCAGCTGCTATTTTATATAAAGTTGATGATTTAATTATTAAGTCACTATGGGCATCAGAAGCATTTTTCATGGCAATTTATATAGTATCCCTTTGTCTTCCTGAAACTGACAGTTATCACATATAAGTAATGTGAGAGCTGCTTTCGTGTTGCTGTGCATCATTAAGGCTCTGTATAGTTATTGGCCAGTTAGGTAACGAAACAGGAGTCATCAGTTCAAATATGTTGGAGAGAATTTCCAGTTGTTTTTAGCTGTGCTTTTACTAAATGTTGTTGCAAAACGATTGGTGAGTAACGAAATAACTTTGTGGTGTGAAAGGAAGTGAAGGACCAGTAAATGCTCCCAAACGGGGTGAAATCTCTCCTTTGCAATAGGTTGAGAATTGCATGCTGTACTGCCCAACCCATTCGGGCAGGAGAAACTCTTCATGGTCGTCAGCAGCTCTGGGGTGTGAAGAGCATGGGTCTGAAGGGGACAGAGACCAGCTGGTAGGCAGCATGTCACCTGCTTATCTTGTGGGGTGAATGTTAAAGTAGCACTTGCTGGTTCATTTCTGGACCGCCCTCTCCAGTTCTGTGCCCTGAACCTGGAGGGCTGGGACAGGAAGGCGGTGGGACGGAGAAGTTGAGAGAGAAATCTGAACGCCTGAGTCTCTGCGTCATCCGCATGAAATTTGTGCTGGAACTTTGATGTCTCAAGGGATTTAGCTTTAGTGCCTTTTACTGCACGGCGTTCCCGTTCTTGCCCCCACAAGTATGCGTATATATACTTAGTATTATCCGTTAGTCTAGAGAAGAGAAAATATCAAATGATAAAAATAATTTTTCTGTGTCAAGGGGCGCCTTCTTCTGCAGCACTGTCTTCTGGGTTTTCAGGGGTATAATGACCTCATGTGACCTCACTTGCAAATGAAGGTACACACCTCAGACAGTTGAGGTATGGCATAGACAGCAGAATAAAACCCAGAAAATATGTTCTTATTTTAACCTGAAGCTTCTTACAAGCCGTAAGGAAAAAGTAACACAGATAAAGCTGCCTTATTTTCCTTTAGAAGGTTTATTTAAAAGTGCTGAAGAGAAATCTCTGTTACTTTTCAATTTCTGGTTCTACTTGAATCTAATTTATTTGTTATGCTATTGTGTTTCCTTAGATATTATTCAAGAAAATTCATAGAAAGCTTATTGTCTAAAAAAAAATTGAAAATTATTTTGTAGATATATAGCAATACTGAACGTGGAAAAGGAGAAGCATACAATCTAACACTGAGTGTATAGTTTTTGACCTTGCTCTGTTCCGTTTAAAATGTTTATGTACTTATTTTGAAATGCACCAATATACCCAAACAAGTTATATCAGATGACTCCTATGAACAGTTAATCACATGAATTAGTATCTGCAGCTGGCAGGAAAATTAATACAAGTGGTTACATTCATATGATGGAAATAATGCAAATAGATCCCCTTCACCATAAAATTATGTCCCTGCAAACTCCTCTCTTCTTTTGAACTTTGTACCTAGTGAACTCCATGTTAAATTCCATAATCAGAGCACTTGAATGAAATAAGTTGGAGGATCTGGGACTAAATTAATTAAGACCTTTGTGACACAAAGCAAAACTTATTTCCTCCTAAAGAAAATGAGGATCAGAGATAGTGGGTTGGGGTGGGCAGTTTTTGTGTAGACAGGGTTTGTACTGATTGTTTTAAATTGCTGAAGGTACACAAATATACAAAATATCCAAAAATATATTTTAGGTGCTGGAACAATAGAGAGATGCTCAGTTCAGCATTTTAATAAGTCTCAAGAGTTGATTCATTATTATTTTTTGTCAGAAGTATTACGCTGAATTTTATAGCAGATTTTTCTTCTGTGCTTAATAAGAGTTTTGTTGCTGAAAAGTATCCCCCTTGATATAAAGCTTCCCTGAGGAAGGCAGTAGCAGGAGGAAGAGAGATTTTTGAGCAGTTTTCTCTTTTCTCAGATATATTTTAGAACATTGTCCTTTTTTGTTTTAGTCATCTGGTTCCATTTTCTGTTTGTTTGTCTGGAGAAAAATTAGAAGATGGCTTTTATGATTTTCTGTTCCTTTTACAAAAGACAAAGGAGGAAAAAAACATAAAAACAGAGCAACACAGGGGTAGGAGAAATTGAAACAGCGTAGCAGGAAGAGATATGTCTTGTTTTCTTTAATTAATGGATGTCCTAGAATCATAGAATCAGATAGGTTGGATGGGGCCTTTGGTGATCATCTACTCCAGCCCCCTGCTCAAAGTGGGGCCAGCTACAGCAGGTTGCTCAGGGCCATGTCCAGTTGGATTTTGAGCATCTCCAAGGATGGAGATGAATATGAATACTGAGTAAGGGCTTGAAGCTTGGCTGTATACATAGGTTTATTTTATGCCTAAGTAGATACATGCACATATGCATGCATGTATATATATGCACACACATATATTTGTTGTTGCAGAGCAGGATTAAGTAACTTAATAATAATAAGCAGCATTATTCTCTTTTTCCCATAAGTCAGCATGAAACAACATTGGAGGATTCTGAACTATTTCACTGTAAGAACAAGATTTACAAAAGGGGTTACAGCTATAAGAGTGAGAAATAGACCCTATTTTGCTCAAGGGAATTAGTGTACACAAATGATCAGGTGTCATAGCTCCAATCCCAGTAGAAATTATTATTTATAGACAGGAAATTCTGATGAACTTTCAGGCTCAAATTTCTGACTATATAAAAGTTATTCATCAAAATTATTCCCCAAACCAAATGTATATAGATTTTTCACATGCAGATCCTATGAATAAAGGATTGTGATTGTGATTCTTTTGGAACAAAATACCAATAATGAATTTGGATGTGTTTTTTGGATTTTTGGCTGAACTTTGAGATTTTTTGCTGTTTCATCTTTCACCATTGATGTTTGTTGATGCTGATGATTTTAAAAACTACTTATTTTAAGTACAATGTTTTGGTAGAGAATTTCAAATCCACTATTGCCATAATTGCTTGTTTCTCTTGCATGAGGGAAATATCTTCTGTTGAAATTAGAAGTACCTGATGTTTTTTGTTTGGCATATTGTACATCAGCCACTGAACACAAATATAGAGGTCTGCCTTAGACAGTATGTACCTACATTAAAAACCAATTTAACTCATACGATGTATTCTTTATTTTTAGTCCTTACCTCTCGCTAGGCTCTTCTGTCTCTTACTTTGATTTGTGATTTTTCTCATTTTGCTGTTTTACTATATCTTGTGTCAAAATCAAGTTGGTTTAGATCAAATATCCTTGAACTTCAGGACAGTCTGAAGTTTGTAAACAACTTCTTTTTCCTCTGAGTCTCTGGTTCTTCTCCCATCCTGGAGCTTTTTCTCTATCAGCTCTAGGCTTTCCAGGGTAGATACTGTGTCTTACCAGTGAGAGTTCTGTATAGTCTTGTTACAGTAGACCCTTATCAGTGACAAATAGTCTTTAATATTAGGATAAATGAATGTTCCAGTTTGAACATCACTGTACTTGTGGAGTTTGACTTATGGTCCAAATTTCACTGTGAATTAGGAGGAGTCAGCGGTGAGATTCAAAAAGAAAATAACCTCATTAGACTGGGAAGTGAGTAAAATTTAGAATTTTATGGAGTATTATGGCAAAGTATTGTTCTGCTCAGGGAACCAAGAGAAAATGGAAGAAGGAGATATAACCAGAATGAAATTTGCCTAGCCAAAGGAGCTGGGGTTGTATTATTATAGCTATATTACTGCAGATTATTAAAGAGTGCCTAACAACCTCAAGTTTGCTATTAGTATTTTGCCCAGGCTGCCACAAAATATTAAGCTGTTTTCCTCTCCTCCTGAATTTTGTCCTTCAAGATACAGGTGTGTAAGGGACACCGAAGACGTGCTTTGGATTCCTTGATTCTCTCTGGAGCGTTGAACCAAGTCCTGAGAGGCTCCACTAATGGAAAGCCTCAGTGCTAGAGTCATTGCACAGTGGAGCCACTTCAAAGCATGTGGCTGAACGGCAGTCAGTGGCCATTTGTTGTCAGCTGCTAAATGGCAGATACCCCTTTTTGTTTTGCTTGAATTGTTGATCTTCAGATAATGCCCTTTCCCACAGAGAGATGGCAGCTATCAGTAATAAAGCGCTAAAACAAGAAGCTTTTGCCGAAAGGATGGTCTCAAAGAGTTATATCCTCCCTAGTAGAAGCTGTACTTGGAGAATTCCACCTGCAGAGACAGATTCACCTTCTA